TTTTGATATTTTCTTGGGGCTTTGCGCTGTTTTTCACGTTGGGGCCTTGGTGGGCTACTTGTTTGGTCTTAGCACACTATCGATAGGGAGCTCTTGGGTAGTGTCGTGGGTTGTGATCTTTGGGGTTGCATGGATAGCAACATGGGAACCCGAAGACTCAGAGATCTTCATTTAACAGGCATCTTAGAGGCGAACACTTAGCAATGAAAGGCGAGGACAGAATAACCAGAAATTACCGTGTCGATAGCCCTAATACTCTAGCCTTGGGGGAAATGCGGGATGTTGCAGTATTGTACACATAAACATCACGCGTGTAATAAAAGAGATGGATAGCTGCTATCCTCAAGACGATCTCCTTACATCCCGATCAGCGCTTCATATCATTCTAAGCGCCGATAGAACAGCCTGTCTCGAAACAGACCTCTTGCTTACCGGTCCCTCGACAATCCAGCCAACAGGATTGCCCGCAAAGCTGCGGGGTGTTTCAAATCAGACGAATTAGATGGATGTAAGTATGCATAGCCCAGTGGCTTGGGAACAATTACTGTTCTCATCCGCATTTCTTATCTTTTGTGGACAACACACTCAAATAGCCATGATAGCCTCGCTACAAGTCTCGCTGCGTATATCCTTGTTGCCATCAGATTCTTGCCGATGATGGGCGAATTCCACTCAGAGAGACGCTTTGTGCTCCCGTTACAATACCAGTCTCAAGGATTTGACTTTGACCAATGGTTCCAACTATTTACTCTGTGCCTAGCTCCTCTTGTTCTGCATCTTGCTACGGGTATCCCGGAGCCCACCATCTTGTATGGTGATGGGCCTGGGTGGTGGGATCGACTCCCCCTTTTTAACCCAGTTTCCATCGTGTGGAGATACCTCGCGATAGCTGACCGACGCTGTCGCGCCAAAAGCTGGGATGAATGCGATATGGCCGCCAGTAACGCTGCGTTCTGGATTCGCAGGAAGTGGAACGGATCCGAAGCATTGCTTTCTACAAGTCGTTCTTGGATCACTAGAAAGCCCGCCTCGACTAAGGTCCATCTTCTTTCAGCTTCCGCTCTTTCCACTATTGGCTTGACCGCTCAAGGGGTCAATGCTGTCGTCTACGTTAGCAAAGGCTCTCCCGAGGCCTTGAATATGGCGTTCTACTATTTCGCCCTTCTTAGTTTAGTTCGGCTGTCTTCCGCCGCATGGTTAACAAACGATTACGCATTTTGTTACTCTGAAGCCCCCAAAGATGAAGAGGTTTCACCTCGACCTGTAGCAAACCATCTGCCTTCTCACTCTCAGTGGCTGATGATGGAACTACCCACCAACTCATCAGGAACACGGCAGGAGAACAAGGAAGGACAGCAAAGATTCGCCGAGACCAATTCTCTGAGTGGAAGGACTTTTCGAGTGTTCTGGATGCTGATCACAATTACCATGTTTTCATTCTCCACGCTGGGTATAGGACGGCACATATTCTGGTCTAACCAGAATAGGGCTGTCACTGTTACGGCGGTAATTGAAAGATTCTTTGCCTGGATGATAGCAGCTGGTTGGATGGGAACTCACGGGTTCTACGTGGTCCAGGGCCAGAATACATCGACCCTACTACCCTGCCTTCAGCATACATGGTACAAAGTGTATACGTGTAGCTTGATATTGGCGGCGGTCTTGGTTCTGGCCTTTTCTTCGGTTGAAACACATGCATGTGTCAGTGGTGGAAAGTATTTTTACACCACTTATTCTTGCGATGTTGCCCACCCTTACTAATGGCACGGCTTTGACGAAATGGTAGGTCTCATCATAGTCGCCCTTCGGCCGGAGAATACTCGTTTCCGGAGTCAATCCTCAGTGACATAAACTGAATCAACTGTTAGACCGAGGGACTGTATACGATGGGCCCAGAAATTACACATAAATTCAAATCAGATAGCCTTGCCGCACACTTGCGTTTACTTGACTTTCATGCTACGTTAAAGTTGTGAGCCTCAAGAATTGGAATCTTTTCTGTTTCCAGGCTCGACCTATTACAAAGCAATCCTTCCTAGTTCTCTAAAAAGGTATATGTTCACCTAAGAGCCGTGATATGCTTAGTACTGTGGTAACTTTGACGCTATCTTCTTTGCAAATCTCTTGATCATCTCCTCCACTTCTTCCGCATCCTCAATACAGTGCCAATGACCAACGCCGTCAAGGATGTCCAGTTCTGTCAGAGAAGGTGCTCCCCAACTGTAACCTCCTTGTTAGCGACATTATCACCATGCGGTATAAAGTCTTGGTACATACCTAGCTACCATCTTGCCCAAGTCATCTAATTGGGCTACTTTGTCGTCTTGTCCGTGGATTGCTAGTAATGGACACTTGATCATCGGGAATGAAGGTGTCATGGCGTCTGCAATGGCGTGACACAGTGACATATATTCTTCAGGAGTTTGTGATAAGATGAGCGACCTCACGAAGGCTTGTGCTACTCTGCTTGCTTTGGCGCCTGTTGCAGACCCAGGAACGTCAATGGTGTCGACAATCCCTTCCAAGCCACCTTATGACCGTTAGTTATCGACTAAGCAAAATCTATCAAGGCGAATGATGGCGTACTTTGCTTTACAACGTCAATCCTTCTAGAAAAGGCGTCGTGTGTATCAAGACTGGGACACACTGGTCCCAGGATCACCAAACCGGCGGGTGCTTCTACTGCGGCCATTTCGCAAGCCACAATGCCCCCCATTGAGTGGCCAACAATGACAGTCCGGTCTATTGAGATGCCTAGCTCTAGCAAGAGCTCTGAGGCATCTTCGGCTATGCTACGCATATCCTGCTCGACTGTGGGACCCGAGTATTTGGACTGGCCATGACCTGCCAAATGTTAGTCGCGTGGCCAATTGTCTTCAGTTTTCGGCTTAAATATTAACCATATGTATCCATGGCCAGGCACGAGAACCCGGCCGCTACCAAGCCGGGAATTATAGGAGCATAGAAGGAGCCTGAACCGCCGAGCCCATGAATGAGTAGTAAGGTCAAGCCTGCCTGGCGAGCAGGCTTCCAGCTGTAGAAGATCTCCTTTCCGTTTATCGTTTGGCGAGGCATGGCTGATGCAAGCAGGCGACTGACGATGGACAAACACCACACACGACAGACATACACACACAAGGCACGCGATGAAGTCACGGCGGCGCCTCAGGGTCTGGGACATCTGCGGTTAATTATAAACATTAGCATCCAAATGGACGAGCGCACAGCTGCAATCTAGATTGGCCGGAGAGCATACTCTCGAGCCTCCTAGCCCACAATAAACACGCAATTTCCCCCGGCCTAGCACGAGGCAAAGGCTGTGCTAACTGCCGCTAAATGGGCCCGGAACTCCTCCGCTATCACGCCTACCCCGTACCACGCTGCGTTTGCTGGTAAAAAGCGCGCTGTTATAGCATGGATATCCTCGACTTCACGAAATACGTTTATGCGCCTGTGCGCTACCATGCGCTACCGAATCGATCGCAAATGACTGATCACTCTATCGTGCATCGTGGTGACAGATCTCTCGGTTAACTTGTCACTAGTGTTTGCATGAGTTAGCACGTAAATGTTTCTGTAGAATCTCGAGGTGGTTAGCTGGCCCGGCTGCCAAAGGGCTTTCCTCGCTTTTACCAGCATGTCCCTGGATAGCCTTAGGAGACTATAAACTAGGACTAACCATAAGTGTAAGCCACAACTCGGTAGGTGCAATACTGCTAGTCCCGCCAAGTGCTGCTTCTAGGATGTTTGTCAGCTCAGTACCCTGCAGCACACCTTCGTGAGGGCCCATCAAGCAGGGAATTGAGCAGGTTATTTACTGCTAGTGGCCCCAAAGTTACCCGCTGCTGAAACACATTGATATAACCTGAAGGACTGCCATTCGAACATCCTGATTGATTGTCGCGGGGTTGGTGATCCTGCAAGCAACATCATATTGTAATACGACTACTTACGGCTTGAAGAATTGTCCGATTCATCCATGTCAAGTGACACGATGTGAGAAGCCTTTCTCTTGCAAAGCATGGCAATGCACCACTAGCACAACCGCTTCTTCTTCTCAAGGAACAACGTCGTAAATAAGCTTGAGGGCGACATTGGAAGGCGAATGCGGCCTCCCTTACATAATCACGGCTTCGGTGAAGATGAGGGTTGAGGTATTCGGCCGGCTATGGCCGATACGCCTGTAAACTGGACACCCCGTAGACTGCATGTCTTCAAAGATCAGTGAGGAGACTTTTGGTGACATCCGGCTTGAAATAATGCCAGCAGATACGCATACAAGCCATTTTGGCAGCCGTGAAATAAGGGGGAAAGCGCCTGATAGATCGAATCATTGTTCTATATTGATATTTATCTCACCATATAGCAATTAGACGATGGAGACCAATACGGGGCTCATATAATGGCTCAAGTATAGTACTCCCGTAGTGTTATAGCAGTAGATGAGCCATCTTGTACCACATCTTGGAATAATATATACCGGCGGTCGTCGTGTCAATACATACAGTAGGTGAACCCAGCACAGAGACTAGCAACCTGTCAAATCACGGCTAGACATAGTGACATCAATGTGTGACAGAGGACATTTCTGAGATGGATACTGAAAATTGATAGTGAAGGTTTAGTAGATTCTTCAGTTGAACGGACTTCATTATACACGACATCTGACGTTGCCTTGGCACCAGGTGGAGGCTAGATCCATCTAAAGTAGATCAATCATGTTTCAAATTGCATCATGGAGAGGTTTTGGGCCAGGGCAGCATGTAATAGGGGATCTCGAGAGCTTGTGACTGGATCCTGCAGAATGTACTCCAATTTACACATTATCTAAAGGCTGCGACTTGAAATTTTGCTAAATCTCTTTGCAAACTCGTCGCATAATTTATTCTAAGCACTGTCAGAACTCTGCAATATGAATGGGATCCGCCTTCAACCATCGAAATGGGTTAAATTATCACAATGGACACATGGAATTCCAAGGAAGCGGGACATCTGACAGCTTAAACAGTCAAGAGCTTCTCATAGAATCCGCCAAACCCATGATCCGGGTCATGGAGATGAATCTCTAGAATCCAGTGCCGCTTGTGTCCATCCTTGCCGGCAGTGCTCATGGGCAGGCTGTTTCCTTGAATGATATAGAGAGTGGTCTTGTCTCTGGGAATGCGCTCATGGGGGAAGGATCCCACAATGTGGCCGGCTATTTCAGCACCCCATTTATATCCAAGCTTGACCGCCTCGTTACTGGCAAAACTGTATAGCTCCTCGCCCGTCATGTCTGGATTTTTGGAGAAGTGAGCCTTGACTGTGTCCCAGACTGGCTCCAGGGAGTCGCGGAGGCGCTTCTTGACCGGATCATTGCCGAGGACATAGGTGCGTCCGAAGTCGGCTTCCCACTCCTCGAAGACGGGTCCTAGATCAACATATAATATGTCGTCTTCCTCGATGATGCGGTCCGGAGGGTTCTCAGCGAAGGGCTTCAATGTGTTTGGGCCGCTTCGGATGACTCGTTTGTGCCAATGAGTCTTGATGCCGTGACGCTCCTGACCGAGCTTGTGAATCTCATCGCTCAGCGTCTTCTCGCTGACACCCGGCCGGAGTAAGTCCCGTTCAATCTCATCGAAGAGAGCTACGGCTTTATTCTGTGCATCTAAGAGGTACGTTGCTCTAGCCTGCTCTTCTGGGCTTAAGGTGGCAGTCATCGTGGAGGATGCTTTTGGAATGCGAGCCGCCGAAGTGTCCTGAGGCTATTGAATGCTTTGAATACTGACACGATCTTTCTAGAGTTTTAGAAATTCAACTCTAGGTCTAAATGCAAGTATGAATATGAAATTGGTAGATAAAGGTGTCGGTTACGTACGCATATTGTTGATTACATATAGTGATGAATCTGTTGGAGGATTAGAACCCAGGATCCATCGGAGAGACCTGCCCTAATCGCTCACTCAACAATGTGTGTCGCCTACCACGGAGAGCAACCCCGCCTGGCCCCACGCCCTTTGGTCAGGACTACGCCGCTTAGGATCGCCGCAACAACTGCGTTTAGGGGTCTAGCTGTTGTGTTATAGCGCCATTGAACATCTCGGAAAGTCAATCATCTCAAGGATCTCCGGGAGCGCCCCAAAGCAGATAGTCTGGGATTCCACATTGATATTGGACAAGCATTGAAAGTTTCATTATTCTCCGGGCCGGACCGAATCAAGCTTCATATTTTGTTCCTATCTAGTCTGGAAAAGATTTGTGACAAAGTCATTAAATGGGTTTGTTTGGTACAATTGATGCCGCGACCGGCCTTGTTCGGGTAATTATCAACTCGATTGCGCCGAGCATCCGATACTTTGGTCACAAGCCTCAGACTGAGTAGACCTTAGCGATCAGAAATCACCGACAGTCTGATAGATGTTTACACTTAATCTAGATGAGCCATTCTTTCTGCCTAATAGCGTCAGTCTGGACCACACCGAGCACCTTAGGTTGTGTCGCGCTGCCTGCTGAGATGGACCATGGCCTCACCATTAACATGTCAGTCATCTGTGCTTCTGTGCACGTTCGTGCACAGCATCTTACAGTATTCTCTCTGATGTGAACGCTTCCGGTGCGAATGCCTGCGACGTCTCAGGGCGAAAAAAGCTAGCTCTTTCGTGAATTGGATCATATCCTTGTCACTCTGATAATGAGAGGGCTTGCGACCATCTTGGTCTGCGACATCTGTCTCCAACAAGTGTTGTAAGGGATGATGAAACAGCAAAGTGCCTCATCTGCTGATATCCTTCGTAGACTCCCTGGGGTCCTCGACTGGCTTTCGAGGCCACTCCCTGGCGATATCAATCTGATCTCTGGGATACCAGAACTCCAGAAACAAAAAGAGTAGATAGTCGATCATGACACAAAGGCAGAACAGCTTTCCAGCCCATATACCGCATCCATAGTAGCGCTTGAGCCGGTCAATAAGAGCAAAGCTCTGCACGCCAGATCGCCCCCTAGTTGCACTCCAACTGGCGGCATTCGCTGAGTCGTAACCGTAGAACTCGGCTTCACTGATGGCACCAGAGATGCCGTTGTACACTCGCTCGGTGCGTATGGCGACATTTGTCCACGAATACATGGACTTGACCTGGTCATGGAAGCGCTCGGTGCGCACCTTGTTTGAACGTAAGGCGGCGATTGCCCTGCCAGTGGCAGCCACGAGGTCATCTTCTTCGGGCTTTGCGAATACGGTCATGTGCGACGGCAACACCTCAGGTATACCGCCCACCTGGGTACAGACCACATACAGACCGCAACTCGCAGCCTCGACGATGACCGTGCCAAAAGCTTCAGTTAGAGAAGGATGTAGGTAGATCTGGCCACGGACCATGACATCACGAACCTCGTCGTGACGAATTGAACCTAGCATCTCAACACGATCTTGCAGAACGTTCTGTTCGATCATCTGCTCCAGATCGATTGCCTTTGGCCCCGAACCGCCAATGATGAAACGGGTGTTTGGGTGGTTCTCCAAGATACGAGGGATGGCAGCTGTCAGGAGGTCTATTCCCTTGTTATAGAACAAACGGGAGATGACAACAATGGTGATTGTGTCCTGTGGGCCTAGACGGTGGACAGGCGGGAGGAGGTCCTGGCTGAAGCCTTGGCTGGTTGGGCCCTCAGCAGAACGAGGCTTGAAATTCTCAGCAACTACGGCATTTGGGATTACCGAGACCATCAATGGATCTAGAGAGGCCCGAAGAACCGTATTCTCCTTGCTGTCATAGAGTATCAGGAGAGTTCATTCACGATTCTTGCGTGTTATGAGGGTAAGGTTGTCTACTCACCATGTGTGACTGACGCAAATACAATGATCCACGTCACTCAAAATGAATTTGAGTAGCTTGTTTGTTAAGATGCTGGCCGCATCAGCAAAGCCGAATAGTGAATGATCAGTAAAGACCGTCCGGAGGCCCATCGTTCTGGCGTGTAGGATTGCCTCATTGCAGAAACTGTTTAGCGAGGCGTGCCCGTGCACGATTTCGATCTGCTCCCGGATGACGATATCGCGGAAGATGGGGAAGAAGGAGAAGACAGTTGGGAAGGATGCCGACCGGTAGATGACGAAGAACGGAACGTGATAGACCTTGATGCCGTTTGTGAGATATCGCACGCCGGTTCTACCCTCGTAGGCGTGGGTTATGACAATGACCTTGTGGCCGCGGTCCATGAGCTTTGTGGACAGCTGGTAGATATGGCTCTCGACTCCTCCCGGCTGCGGGTAGAAGAAATCGCTGACCATAGCGATGTTATACGTGCGCCGCATCTTGACCGTTTCTCCAGTCCCGAATCCATGTAATGGACTTATTTCAAAGAGGATTGAGACTGAACAAAGCGCTCTGATGACGTCTGGACCAGAGTGAGCGGTGCTGCTGCTATCAGGAGATGGAAGCTGTCGCGACGCGCTAACGTCGCCCCCTGGTTCTGCAATCTGGTCCAGAACGCCTCTCCGATAACGATAAGTGAGGCGGTCAACACCGGCAGATCGGCTCTCCGCCAAAAATTTCCAGTCAACTCTCCCCTCCACTTTGGTCAATTGATTCAATTGCGTGGAACAGCTACAGCCTCGCAATGCTGGCAGAGGCAACAGAATGTACGCACGATATATACCACCTCCAAAGGCGGACTATCGGAACGATGCTGAGCCGCCTCTGGTGCCAGCTAAGGTGACAGACTCGCTATCAAACTCAACCGCGACACAGTCGACCACGCCATACGCCAGATATGTCCCACCGCCAAAGCCGAAACACACCGAAGCTCCCACTCCTGCCTTAACTGCAAAGAGAATCGTTTTCGACTATGAAGAACAAGCGGACGAGTCCTCTTCCAAAAAGAGAAAACTTGAGCCCTCCGATCAGAATGCGATCGAGCCGGGCAAGAAGAAGTCAAAAAAGTCAAAGGAATCGAGACGGGGCGCAGAAAGCGAGATTTTGGAGAAGGATCTATTTTCCCAGAATCTCACGGACAATGATGTAGTTGGTGTAGTGGAAAATTCGCAACAGGAGTCGAGCACCATTGTCATGGCCGAGCGTGACTATGAAAAGAAGAGCAAGAAGTCGAAGAAGCTTTCTATGAGCAGCCCGGAGCCAGCCAACTTGGGCACAAAACCAAAGACAAGCAAGAAGGAAAAGAAAGCAACGGAGAAGAAAGCTTCGAACAAGCTCTCTCCAGAACCAGAGACACCCCCGACGGAGCCCGTTTCGAATCCAAGCGACGATGATCAAGAGCCTCCCAAGGCGAAGACCAAGACGAAGAAGAAGCGTTCGAGTGATGCGACCGTTGAGATCCCAGGTATATTGAATAACGAGAGTGTAGACGACACTACCGAGCGTCATAAGTCAGTTTTGAAGAAAAAAGAGAAGTCGTTGAAGAGGTTAAAGCGGGAGGCCAGAGAGGACAATGATACCAAAGAGAGCAAGGAGCAGGCTGTTGCTAATGCTGATGGAGTCGCGGAAGAGCCGCCAGAAATCCACGGTCTAGAGCCATTGCCGCAACCAGAGCCAGTAGCTCAAGGTAATATCAAGGCGGCTTACGAGACACTACCAGCATGGCTGGCAGCTCCAATTCGCGTGACGCCGACAAAGACAACTACCTTTACCAAGTTGGGCATTGATGCAGAGGTCGAGAAAGCACTGGCGGCGAAAGGATACAAGGAGGCATTTGCTGTTCAGACTGCAGCAATTCCCATGCTTATGCCATCAGCCGATCGGCAAGGTGACCTGGTCGTCTCGGCGGCAACGGGATCTGGGAAAACTCTGGCCTACGTTCTGCCCATGGTGCGGGATATCAGTCAAGGTGTTGTCACGAAACTAAGAGGCTTGATTGTTGTTCCTACTCGTGAGCTAGTGCGACAGGCTCAAGAGGTCTGTGAAATTTGCTCAGCTGCTCTTTCGGGGCCTGGTCGAAAAAGAGTGAGAATTGGCATCTCAATGGGCAACCAGGCATTCAAGACCGAGCAAATTGCTTTGATGGGCGAAGAGCAACACTACGATCCCGAGGGCTATCAATCATACCTTCGGAAGCGACACGATCCCGATGCATTCGAATACTTTGGCTCAGACCCCCACTTAAACATGTTTCAGGAAACCATGAAGCCATTACCAGATCATGTGGTAGACTATGTCTCCAAAGTTGACATTCTCATCTGCACGCCGGGACGTCTAGTTGAGCATATAAATCTTACTCCTGGTTTCAATCTAGACTACGTTCGGTGGCTCGTTGTCGACGAAGCTGATAAGCTACTCGCTCAGAGCTTTCAGCAGTGGCTTGGTGTTGTGATGGAGAAGCTGAGTGTAGAAAAACCTGGTGCTCGAGACTTCCTGGATTCGAATAAAAGCGGTGTGCGGAAGATCATTCTCAGTGCAACAATGACTCGAGATCTCAGTCTTCTAAACGGCTTAAAGCTACGACGACCGCGTCTCATTGTTCTCGAAGGCACAAGGTCCGATGAAGATGACGATAATGAGGATAAGACTGTACATGTTCTCCCTGAGCTGCTCCGAGAAACTGGTATCAAGGTGCGAGATCCAGATCAAAAGCCATTGCTGCTGGTGGATCTCTTGCAAAGCGACCAATTGAAGCCGATTAGTGCAGCCCTTGATAAGATTCATGACGATGCGGAGGAAGACCTTGATAACTCAGATGATACCTCGTCGTCGGGCTCAGACTCAGAAGACACTTCAGATCCAGATTCAGATTCGGACGATGAGTCGAACGAGAACTCAGATGATGATTCGCTCAGTGCCGGATATCCCACCAAATCTCGAAAGACGTTCCAAAGTACAGTCTTGGTCTTCACCAAGTCGAATGAGACCGCGCTTAGGCTTTCTCGCCTGCTATCCATCCTTGCGCCAAGTCTCGCACCCCTCGTTGGGACATTGACTTCGACAACTCGCACATCACAACGACGAAAGACACTCCAAGCCTTTGCTTCGCGCAAATTTCGGATATTGATTGCTTCTGATCTGGTTGCCCGAGGTATAGATCTGACGAATCTTGATCATGTGGTAAATTACGATATGCCTACTAGTGTTGCATCTTACGTGCACCGTGTTGGTCGTACTGCACGTGCGGGTCGGAGTGGACATGCCTGGACTTTCTTTACGAAGACGGAGGCTGGTTGGTTCTGGCCAGAGATTGCAGGTCAGGGGAAGAATCCGTCGAAACTAGGTGGCATCAAGAGGACGCAGAAGGTAGAGAACATCAGATTTGGAGGCGATGAGGGAGGCAGGTTTAGTGAGAAGAGGGTTGAGATATATGAAGCAGCACTAGAGAAACTAGGTCAAGAGGCCGGCGAGCTGAGGAGGCGACGATAAAAGCCTGTAACTCCTCCAGTCGCCTGGCTATAATGTGAGATCAATCAAGATGCAGTGATCTGATCCGCGTGTAGCCCCCAGCACAGACAGTTCAAGTTTTCTGTTCGATCATATAAGGTCAAGAGGTGTTCATCAACGTGGAGTTTTTATGTAACTGGCAGGATAGCATCTAGGAGTTTCCTACAAATTTCCGTATGGCTGCCTTCAGAGCGGACAAGATATACCATGATTGTGCACCAAAAAGCAAAGGCAGTGCTTTCACAGTCTCCAAGCGTACCTTAGCTTCCCATCAGCCCCAACCATGGCCTCTATCCTAACCCAAAGCACGGCAGCAGTAGCTGCGAAAAGGAGTACACTGACTAGAAGAGACATGTTCTCATACGCCTGAGGTCCCACAACCGCCGTGTTGCTACGGATGAGAACACCACCCACCGGCGTGCCGATGAGGGTAGCGAAGCCGCGGACCATGTACAGCACACCATTGACGGACGCAAAATTCTGGACGCCAAAAATTTCAATGAGACTGGTTGGGAACAGCGAGACATAGGCGCTCGCGAAGAGGCCATACATGACCGTGAAAGCGATGAACAGGCTGCGGGAGCTATCGGTCGGACCATAGGCGGTAGATGGTAGCCAGAAGCCTATTGTAAATACAGCGCTCAGGAGTGTGGTAAGGAACAACGTGTTGAGACGGCCCATCCTATCAGCGAAGAAACCAATGACGATCTTTCCGATGGCATTGCATGCATTGCTCAAGGCGATGAAGTTGGCACCGGCCGTGGCACTATAACCCAGGGTGCCAGCATAAGAAGCGAAGAAGAAGACAGGCGTGTAATAAGCCGCGGCTTGGAATATCGCCCCTAAACCCTGAGCGGCAAATTTCCGTGACTTTGCCACGCGCCAGTCTACTAGAGGTACTTTGAGGATGCCATCCATACGGCCTGACCGAGTAGCGTTCTCGATGTTGATCCTGTTTTGGGCCTGGGCCTCCCAAGTCATCGTAGCACTTGAGGCGGCGACAAGCACGAACGAGAAGACGCCTGATATTCGTAGAGAGTTACGATATCCTACAACATCGATTAATGCCTTCAAGACAGGAGCCCAGATGACACCACCAACACCGGTCCCGGCAAGTACGATGCCCATAGCGAGCCCTCGACGAGCAGTGAACCATGTTGGAGTTACCGTGACGGCGACCATGTACGACATACAGGTTCCCACGCCGAGAAGCAGACCTTGAGTTAGCTCGAAGTGCCACAGGCGTGTGCCAAAGCTGGCTAGAATCAGCGAAAGGCTAAATATGACACCACCGGAGAAAGAAACCCAGCGAGGAGAGAAACGCTTGGCCCAAGCAACGGAGAACGGGGCGCCGATCGTCATGAGCGAAATAGAGAGTGTGCCAATGAGATCGATCTGAGCAGGAGTGGCGTCTGTGAATGGGTTGTCTGGCAATTTGGCCATACTATCATATAATGCCTGGAATATACCGAATGCAAAGTTGAGACCACAGCAGGTGAAGACGATAGTGAAAGACGACGCGACTACCACTACTGATCTCCTGTAAGTGAGAAAAAGCAGCACCGAGTAGTCAGCATTATTTGCCACAATTAGAAGTACGAGAGACGGTATGTCTAACGCATATCGTCGTAATCAATGCTTCGCTTCAATAGAAAGCCTCCAATCTGACCACTTACCATTTCGAGATTGCAGGTTCTTGAGATTGCTGAGTTGCAATAGGGGTGAGCTCAATATCGGGTTGAGATCTTCTACTCGCAATTGACGACAGTTCAACCTGCCCATCAACGCTAGAACGGATAGAGGGCGTTGCTAAAGTTGCCATGGCGATGCTTCAAAGCAGTGGTTTATATCGATTACACAATTCTTGCTCGTCCGTGTTGTTATGGAAGGAGTCGAAAGCTACAGGCAGGCCATCAATGAGCTTGTCTCGCATTAAATCGATCTTATACAGTGGCTCTTCAAACAATTACCCATTCGATTGGTTCCATGTACGCGAGTGAAATGTAAATGACGCCGTTGCTGTTGCTGACGTTGCGATTTTATATTTCCGAGAATTGCCTCATAAGAGTCATCCGCGCCTTTCGGCTTTGGAAATGGGGAATTAGGCCTCCGAGCCCGGCGATTGATCTCACTAACACTGAGTGAGGCAGGTACTGCCGTGACAATACTTGCGGGGCAACAGCGGGATTCCGTGGGGTCTTTCGGCTACGCTAGCTGCGTTCCCGTTCTCCTCCGAGTCCAACTCCGCCAGCAAAAAAGTGTTACTCTTTGTTCAAGTCCATGGGTGATATATTCTTCGTTGTCGGTCCGGGGACGGTTAAAAGCAAAGGCATATAAGTTTGTCGGTATGACAGGTTGTTCAAAGTGTTTAGGAACATCTAGTAGCGCAGAGGGCCAGTCAAGGAAGGTTCGATACAAATCATCACTGACGAGGAGAGTGGCTTCTATAATCCCGTCGAGCAGACCTATCAAGCCGTTCTTACTACGATGGGCATCGAGGTTCAGGAGGTCCAATTCGTTGCTGGTAGTGCAGGAGATGTTGAGGGTCAATGAATGCTGGCATGAAGGTAGTATGGCATAACAAAGTTGGGCTGGAAATGAAGGGAGAGGCATTTCCGCACAGGGAGGCGAGGACTTTGAACGATGCTCTAGAAGATATTCTATGAATGATTCATAAAAGAACACACGTGGTAGACATGGCAAAGCACTATCTATAGTCGCCTCCAAAATCAAAGCTTTTAAAGTTGCGGTTACTTGATCATACCACTGTTGTCTTGGGGGCCCTCTAAAGATTCGTGATGCTTATTGCTATGTTGATTCATGAGATCAAGCTTGCATATATTATGCAATTTCAGCGTCCAATCTCACTAGTTCCCAGGGAAGTTTCTGACTAGCTCCTCACTAATGCTCCACAATTTCTGTGCTACAGTCTCATCAACCGCTGCTGGCAACAGACCGTCGACGGTCATAGCTCCGTCGGCCATAAAATAGCCGTGGTCATCTGTAAAGTTTAAACTCAGAATTGTCTCAATATGAGAGGATTGTATAGGGCGCTGACTGGAAATAGAACGATCAAAAGCAGCAATTATGCCGGTTGATGAGCCCTCAGACGATGTTTTTGTTTTGATAGAAGGGCTGAGATTTCCGTCATCATCAATCCAACCTAGTGAAAGTCAGCGTAACTTGACACCACGTGAGATAACAAAAAGACTTGCCTAGAGCACGAAACTCCTCGGTAGGTACGCTTCTGGTAAGGGATGTGGTGACGATGATACCTGGGTCAACGCAGAAAGACCTCAGGCCCTGGGTTCCAAAATGTTTTACTAGTCCAACCGACGTCAGGATGTTGCAGATCTTTGAGTTACTATATGCTGTCCACTTCTCGTAACTCTTTCCGTCATCATAGGTCAGGTCCTCTAGAAAAGCTAGATTAGCGCGCGTGTGTGCCTCACTAGTATACATGACTACTGTAGCGTGCCCGGCGAGAAGCTGTTCCGTAAGTTGGTTGATGAAATGGAAGTGACCAAGATGGTTGACAGCAAATTGCAACTCGAATCCATCCTCTGACTTCTGATACGATGATGTAGCCATGATACCTGCTGTACAAATCATTGCATCAATTGCGGTTACAGAGCTGGTTAATTCAAGGGCAGCTCTGCGAACAGACTCCAGCGAAGCAAGGTTCAAGATTAACCGGCGTACAGTAGTCCCTGTCGGCACTTCAAGTGACTCGATAACTTCTTGTAGCTTGGTCTCAGTCTGGCTTGCTAGAATGAGCTGCGCGGGCTTTTGAGCAACAATTGCCCTGGCGGTGTCTGCCCCCAAGGAGCTTGGACTAACCCCAGTCACGACGACTGTGATAGGGGTAAGCTGTGAGTCATGAAATATGATGTGCCACAGCTGAACTTACTCGTCTTTCCAGCAATTTCATCCCTGAGTGCAGCGCATGCCTCATCAGAAGTAGTGTTGAATTTAAACTGGGCCATGTTTAAGATATAGTGTAAAGAGTGACTCTTATTGCCAAGTATTTTCCTTTAGTTGTAGCACTTATTTCTTTAGGTTTTAAATCAAAACATCGGAATAGCACATCTTTATATGCATTGACTGCAGAGTGTGCAGAAGATGCTGACGATGTAAATTAATTGGTGTTTAGCGTAAGCTCCGCGCTCATTAAGTGTGTAGTTACGAGACGGTCCCGTCTGATAGCGTAAGCCATTGCCGATGCACCAACACCCGGCAAGTTACCTCTGACTTTCGAAACGGGAGAGGCTTTAATGAGAATGTGGTCTCGGAAAGTCAAACAGAGGCATATATTCAGGTGCATCTCGATATTGTACCTGTAGTATCTCGCTTGGTGCTGAGGCACTTGAGGTTGGCTTGAGAAAATCCACTTTGAAGATGTGGTTGAACAATTACAGCTAAGGACATCGGCATCGATCTAACCTAAGACAAGGGGGGATTGGGTTTCGCCGAATGGAATAGATCAAAAATCAAATGAGAATTGACACAACCTCTTGTCAGCCTACGGAATCCTCCGTGTTACTTTTATCGAGGAAAAAGAGGGCGGAGAGTTTCGGACAGCGACCTGATATGTGGCGGGTCCAGATGTGGAGTTTCGTGGTTTGTATACTCACGCAGTTTTTTATATCGTGAGATACTTGAGAATAACTTCCGACTTTGCATTCTGCATTCCCGGAGATCGTTGATATTGCAAGATATTCCAAGATCAAAGACCGCCTTGATCCAATAGACCATGCATTTCCTATCGGGCGCTTATGTAAACATGAAGATTTTGCTTCGTCATCAATCGTCGATTGAGTAGCTGGTGGGAGATTGACGGAGAGTGTTATGGTAACCCTTCTGAATCGCTGCTGAAGCCTCTCGCTGTTCCGCGGACTCCGTGATGGCCCTGATGAATATGATTGGACGCCTTGACCTGAATTGGCTCTCAACAACATTGTCATTCGCCCAATCCAACCCCGAGCTCACGAAGGATAGCTCTCGAATATAATACAGCAGCTCGCTCTCTTTCGCGCTGCGAGGGAGACAATGTTCTCACACCAATCAGGTACACACCAAAGCATCCGCTGCAGCAAGTAACAAAAATGGCTACAACTGTGGGAATCGCTGGTATCACTGGCAAGTTTGGCCGCCTAGTGGCCAAGCACCTTTTGAACAATCCCGAGATCACACTCCGCGGGTATTGCCGCAATCCCAGCAAGGTAATTTCCTCTATTTCCTCCAGCCCAAGGGTTCAGCTCTTTCAGGGTGACGCCTACGATCAAGACAAGATCCGGGCTTTTGTTCAAGGCAGTGACGTTGTTTTGTGCTCATACCTTGGCGACGAAAAATTGATGATCGATGGACAAAAAGCGCTTATCGACGCATGTGAGTCAGAGGGTGTACCCAGGTACATTGCAAGTGACTGGGCTCTCGATTATACTAAACTTGAGTTTGGAGAGTTGTTCGTTAAAGATCCAATGAAGCACGTCAAAGCATACCTTGAGACAAAAGAAAACGTTAAAGGTGTACACATTTTGGTCGGTGGCTTTATGGAGCCCGTTCTCGGTCCTATGTTCAATATCTTGGATGTTCAACACAACATCATCAACTACTGGGGCGATGGTAATGAGCCGTGGGAGGGAACCTCATACGAAAATGCTGCGGAGTATACAGCTGCAGTGGCTGCTGACCCGACCGCATTCGGTGTCCAGAAATGTAAGTTTCGATCTTCTCAGCAAACACACATGATCCACTTGCTGAAACCCTCAAAGTCTTGGGCGACAGGAAGACGATTAAGGAGATCGCAGCGTCATTTGAAACGGTATATGGAATCAAGTTAGAGCTGGTGTGTCAGGGCTCTCTTGACGATCTTAAAGCTCGGATGCATGCCATTCGATCTCGAAATCCCAGCCAGATCTATAGCTACATGTTTCTGTAAGATCACTTTCTGAATTATCCATGAGAATAAAAATCTCCTAACAAGGCTGAAGATTCTTCTTTTATTATTGGCTTAACGGCCAGACCTTTGTCGGACCCGAGACGGATAATTCCAAGTACCCGCATATCAAGCCTGAGACTTGGGAGGATTTCATGAAGAAGCGAAGCCTTGAGGAGCTAGTAGGCTCATACTTTACTCTCTGAAACCAAGGGTTAGATTATACAAAGATTACGATAAAGCTCAGAAGGTTAGCCGACTTGCTATTGAAAAAAGAACTTATGATCGCCATTTTTTTTTTTATAACCAAGCTTAATGTCCCCTCATTTCGAACTCTTCCTCTACTAGAACCCCAAGCTCAAAAGCGAATGAGAGAGTATCTCCTTCCTTAACACTCTCTATTCCCTAAGATGTGAACCAGTGTCATATTCATGAGCGTTATTCTATATTTTCCAGACTAGCTAGATTGAAAGTCCATGAATAAGTCGAGCGAAGGCTTGAGATGTGATGCTTCAGGGATGAGGACTGGCTGGAAGTTATCGGGTGACTCGGATATCAGTGCAGTATCGATGTTGTCAGTGTGCCGTACTGGATCAGGTTTATTTTGAGCGACGCAGTATATGATTTGAGGTGAAGTGATGTCTCGCTGCGCCAAAAGGGGCAAAGACAAGGATGACGCCGGAAGGTCTTTGACCTGTATGACATTTAGCAGGGGTTTGGTATTATTACGTGAAGGCCAAACCTTTTCAATTAAGGAAATATCAACACCTGTGCGCTCCATATCCATGGCGAGCTGCAGAGCCATTGATCGCACAACAGGATTCCTTAGTCCGACTTCCTTCAGAATGCCAAGGAGAAAGTCTAAGTTAGCCTGACTTTGGCCGTCCTGGTCGCTTAGAATATTTTCGAGAAAAACAATAGCTGCCATGTACGCCGAAAACGCCATAATAGGATTTTGTAGTGTCGTATTGATCTTAGTCGTCGTTTTTAAAATGCGTAGTATTTCTTCTGCTGCTGGAAGTAAGCGGAATTTGCTCTGTTGTTTCATATAGCCCGGGGAATCAAATCGATTCAACATCGCCAAAGCTCCACGGTGTAAGCAGATTATAGAAGTATGAATGTTGGCGTTTACAAAGATTGCAGTCTGACATTGGACGGTTCCAGGGACGCGTAGATTGTCTGGTAGGAACATAAGAATAGTGGCGAGATCATTATCAATCTCTCTATGCCTCTTCCAATATGGCCCGTTTTGAATGTCTTCTACATTGTCTTCTGTCGAGGTTTGAAATGTTTGTTGGCATGTTCGATAGAAGATGTGGGCTGCAAGAATCCTTCCTGCGAATGGAGAGTATGATGTGCTCTTCTGTTTCAGAACCGCTTCTAAAAAGCAAGGTGGTTCATTAATTCCATAAGCGAAGGCTTCTTCTGATGCAGGAAGTCGAGTCTGAATCTACAGAAATATCAGCTGTGGTTCAAAAATTAAGAGTAATAACGGCACCATTCGTACATCTCGCTCATTTACAAGTGCTGGCCATCCTAAAACGCTCGCCACAAGGTAGTCATGAGAACAGACTACCCACCACGTTCTCCGTCGTTCCTCCAGTTCACATAAGTCTTGTGATTCCGGAAGAGTAGGAATTGCCGTCGGGCTATTGCTGTCCAATTTGTGCAGTCCAAGCATCTGGGCGATTCTTAACGCTCGTGCTAGGCTGATAGATCCTCGATAGAACATTCGTCGTTGCGCTTCAAAGTGAGCAAGTAAGATCCAGCACTGTACGTGGGCCAACGAGATGGAAAGTTCACTTTCATCCTAGCCGTCAGGTATTAATAGCAGACATCAAAGTTTTGTATCTTAGGTGATGACTAACCTTCATCTCATCGGACTCAGCGTATTGCTTTGCGCGTTGATAGAAAGCCATTGTTATATGAGAATATCTGTCCTTAGTTCCGGCAGCGAGCGCCATGACGGCATATTGCAGACACATAGGGGGCTGCATGTGCTGGGGTAGATGAACAGATGCTTTGTAGCGAGAGGGGTGCAGCATAGGAGCGCCGTGTTGAAGCTCTTCAAAATAGATTGTATTTCTGCTCGACTCAGGGGTTAGAGGTAGGCCATGAAATATGTGTGATAAATGGGGTTGCCATGGATCTTACAGCATCTCCTTGAGTTGCGCTGTAGGGGCTTGCTCGAAGAGACCAAGTTGAATCATTTCATTCTGGGCGAAGCTCTGATCTTCAAAAGTGGTAGCCGACTGCCTATCGCTGAGGTCTGGGAGATGTAGGGATGGAATAGAGCTGGTAAAATTGACCGAGCCCAGTTGCCCCGCTTCGTCGAAGGTCAATTCGTCATTATGGACTGCGCCGCCCCGAAGCTCTTTGATTGTGTCTTCAAGTTGAGCTATAGAAGTATGAGATTTCCGGAACGGTTGAAGTTTAGGTGTAGAAATATACAAAAGTGTATCAAGAAAGGGGGCGCGAGGGGGTGGATCATGGTAATCGTGTCTTACCCATTCGTGATTGAAGCTGCTCGACATTTTGCCTTTTGGTGTGATGCTTTCGTCTCTCCCTGGGATACACACAGTCCTGGCCCCGCTTTCTACATTTGGAGCAGCCGGATGCTTCACGGTCGCACTTGACCTTCCGGCTTTTGCATTGAAGGCAGGATAGGTCGCTTATGCGAAGAGTCTGGCGTATATTTGAGCTGCTGGAAGTGTCACGGACGCTGGGGTTAGCCATCGTGTTTGCTTCGGCCACGTCCAATGATACCATGGCGTCAGCCATCTGAGCCAGACCCCGGCTTGTAGGCGGCCAACAATACTGTGGCAGAGCTCGGTCGCTTACGAGATACCTCTAGTAACTTTGCTGCCAGTGAGCTTCCTAGTCTGGCTTATTTAGCAATCCCTGGCGGGAGGTGGTTGGAAGAGGATGCGGCAAGCTCTGTTGTGGGCCGGTCCCTGCAGCACTTTCAACCGTGTTTACAAATACTGCATAGTAATTGTGGCGGTAATTGTCTAACAGCCACAAAACCTACAAGGCACGCACATGCTACGTCACGGCGGCAGGCAAAGCCTTTTTCAGCTCCAAAACTGCTTACAACGTTATCGCAAAGATCCAGATACTGGACAATATCTGCAAATACTGGGGATTCGCAGTTCTAAGACTTTATTAGAATGATGTGTCGGCCATACCCACCCATAGACTGTAGTATTGCGATGCCCGTGATCAGCCCAATTCCTAATTGCATTGAGTCTCCTTGACAAAACCAATCAAGACCCTACTATCCATGTCCCATCTCCTCTCGTGCCAGTGTACGCACGTTATTGGAAGCCAACAATCGCTTGTCATGTAAAACATTCTTGAATGTTCTCTCGGAGACATTTCCTGCATACCTGAGCTTTCGGCGTCCCTAGTCATGATCTCGGTGTCCGTCCCACACCGAAAGTGGGTCCGGCCGGGACTGGACATGTAGGTGAAGCTCACATTTTCTGTCGGGCATCCTGTTTTGATTCGTCATCAGGAAAGACAGTAAACCTTATCGCAGTCGCGAAGGTTAATTTCAATTTTTGATGCACCATGCATGTCTTTACACTGGAGGAGGCGAATCATTCCACAACAATGGCTATAAAAGTCGCAACGGTACACCTGTCGTCCAGGTCCGACTTCATCTATACGTAAACCATGTCTCGAGCACTTCTTATCACTGGTGCCACAGGCAAGCAGGGAGGTGCCGTGGTCAAGGCTCTCCTGGCTGCCAACGCCGACTTTCAAATTCTCGCCGTTACTCGAGACGCTGCATCGCCGTCAGCGCAACGCCTAGCTAGCAAATCCTCTAGAATCAAACTCATTCAGGGAAACCTCGACGACTGCGATACCATATTCAAGGCTGCCAAAGCCGCTAGTAACACACCGATCTGGGGCGTCTACAGTGTTCAGGTAAGCGCTCTTAGAAAAATTGTTATGTAGCAAGCCAGAGCAGATTGTGTTAATCAACGTTAAAGATCCCTGCATTTAATAGCAAAGGCCCCATCATCGAGGAGAGACAAGGGAAGGCGCTTGTTGATGCCGCTCTGAAGAACGGCGTTAAACATTTCGTCTACTCCTCAGTCGATCGCGGCGGCTCCCGGTCGATCAACAATGAGACCAATATCCCACACTTTGCCAGTAAACACCGCATCGAACACCACTTGATCAACAGTGCCAAGAATAATACCATGGACTGGACAATCCTGCGCCCGGTGGCTTTTATGGAGAACTTCGATGGAGGGTTCATTGGCAAGGTCTTTGCAACGTCCTGGAAGATGGTCGTCAATAGACCGCTTCAGCTCATCGCCACTGACGATATCGGCGTGTTCGGTGCTGAGGCTTTTCTAGAGCCAGATAGGTACAGAGGTCAGGCTATCAGCCTCGCTGGCGACGAGCTAAAGTATGAAGAGTTGGTGAAGATATTCAAGGAGAAGACGGGGTCAGCACCGCCATTGACATTTGACTTGATAGCGAGAGTCGTGTTGTGGTTGTCGAAAGAGATGGGCACTATGTTCGCTTTTTTCGAGAGGGAAGGCTACGGTGCAAATCTTGCAGAATTGAAAAAGACACACCCAGAACTCACTACATTGTCAACCTGGCTTGAGGCGAGTGTGTATTCTAAAGGCAAACAATAGAAGTCGGGAGGACAACGATTGACGCACTGCACTTACAACCCTTTCCCCCTTTTTTCTGGCCAAAGGTCGTCATGAGAGGGAAAGTTCAACCGAGTTAACTTCGCAATGCTCCGTATTTGGACATTGGAATATTAGCAAATATATCTTTTTTAAAGATCTGACTGTGACGTTTGGGTTATAGGGTGCGGCTGATAACCTTTTTCGGCAGTTGCGGGGACAGCCGAGGTAATAGGAATTGGGTATGTCTAGCACATGACATCAGACGCCATAGCCGCATGGCTTTCAGTTATAATCTACTTATTTGCAAGAAATCAGCATCGCTATCTCAGTGTGTAATCCCGTTGCAACGATTACAATGGATCAAATAGAGATGGTAGATACTGCAATTTCACCAGGTCAGCCAAGGCCTACACAGCAGAGCGGAGGAAGGGAAGATGCTCCCCACCCAACCCCGATCGAATACTCTCTTGCGCCCACGGACCGGGGACTTGCAGCCTGGAGACTCCTATGTACCGCATTCGTTTTCGAAGCTTTGCTTTGGGGTAAGACATTTCGTGATTATATAACCGGTCAAGTTGTTATAGGTCTGACCGCCCATTTCAGGATTTCCGCTCTCATTCGGGGTTTTCCAGAACCACTACTCTAAACTCCCGGAGTTCGCAAACAATCGCTACATCTCCGTTGTAGGCACTGTTGCTACAGGCTTCGCCTATCTCGGAGCACCTTTTATTCTACCCTTGATCAAACGATTCCAGAAGTTCCAACGGCAGATGGTATGGGTTGGATGTAAGTACTTAGAGCGTCAATATTGGATGCATTTACAAACCGAATCACAGGGCCGCTTTGCATTGTAGGACTTCTGATTGGCTCCTTCACTTCCACCCTTGAAGCACTCATTCTCACGCAAGGTGTGGCCTACGGGGTCGGCTTTTTGATATTCTACTATCCAATCTTGAATATGGTGAACGAATACTGGATCAGTCGCCGTGGGATGGCTTATGGACTTCTCTGCGGTGCATCCGGTGTCTCAGGAGCAGTCCTGCCGATAATCTTCGAGAGACTACTGGACACATATGGATACAAAGTCACCCTTCGTGCGATTGCTATCGCGTTGGTGGTCCTGACTGGTCCCCTGATCCCTTTTCTCAGAGGCCGCCTACCAGCAAGTGAACAAAGCCAAATCGCTAAAACAGACTGGACATTTCTTCGAAGCCCATTGTTTTGGGTCTATTCGATTTCTAATGTCTTGCAAGGCCTGGGCTACTTCCTGCCGTCATTATACTTGCCATCTTATGCAACCTCGCTTGGGCAAAGTAGTAGACAGGGTGCACTACTTCTAACACTGATGAGCATTTCTCAGACAGTCGGTCAATTTCTGTTTGGCTTCCTTTCCGATCGAAAGGTACCACTTAATGCTCTCGTTGCTTTTTCAACGACAGCTGCCGCGGCTGCGTCTCTAACTTTGTGGGGACTGGGCAGCTCTTTACCGCCACTTGTTCTGTTTGCGTTGATCTACGGATTTTTCGGGAGTGGGTACACGGCCATGTGGGCAAGGATGAGCAGTGCCGTGAGCGGCGATCCGACGACTACACCTATGATCTTCAGCCTGTTCTGCTTTGGCAAAGGCATCGGAAATGTTCTCGCCGGACCAATCAGCGGAATCCTAGTAACCGGTATCAGCTCTCACGGGGAATACGGCCTCTTGAGATATACAGGTGTGGTTGTATTCACGGGCACAAGCATGTTGCTTAGCACGTGTGCCATAGCATTATGGTACACGAGACCGTTAGTACGGATGGTGTTTTGAAAAAGGTGGATTGAAACTTTAGTCATTGATACAAATGTCGGCTATAGATGAAAGTCTTCTCTATCATTGCATGTCTTTTCCTTTGAATTGTTGTCAAACTGCAAGCCTGGTACTGTCGAGAGGGCCTTGAATAGTCTATGCATGTACTAGGCACACATCAAACTATCAAATGTCAATCGCGTTTCTCCCCTTTTCTCTCGCCAGTGGTTAGTGGACTCTAAGATCTCACGGCAGCCACGTAAAAGCAATCCCCACTTCCTCAGAAATGCCACGCTCGCCTCCCAACTATAAGGATTCCATGGTTCTCCCCAGACAAGGAGGAGCGGGTCATCAGGCCTAGATGTCGTGGTGCCATATGCCTCAACCATGTCAAAGCAAAGTCCCAGCTCATCGAACGCCTTGGAGCTTTTCATCGCGAGCAGCAAGTTATCGCGTAGCCTAGGCAATGGAAACAGATCTATCCACGGTCGATGTGGTATTGAGAGCTGGAGATTGGTGGGTCGCAAGCTCGGTGGGCACGTCTTTCCTCCTGGCAGTTCGTATGTGAAGGCTAGGGGACCTGAACGGCCAAAGGGAGATATCGCATCGCACAGTACCCACTCGGTAGTCATCAAACCCAGAGCGGCGGCATTACGTGCTAGTGCATTGAAGACGTTAAGCTTTACCAAAATGGGAAGTTGTACCGGCTGGGGTTTGCCGCCCGCATAATCCGAGTATGCTTGAGATGCAAAGTAAGTGAGCTTGGCACGGCGAGCAGGATCATCCATAGTACACGGGGAGCGCTTCGCTAGACGGAAGTACTTTGCTGCGTCATCTGTGAGTCCTTCTTTGCTTCCCTTGATCCCAAAACCTTCAGTTTGAACCGTATTTGAAGCACTGATGTAGTTGGCCAAGGCAATATCAAATTTACGTTTGCGCCGCCCTATAAGCACTCGTTTTAGCAAACTTGCTGCTTCGGGTCTTGAAGAGCATCTACTTACTGGAAGCTCTCTTATTGAGACGGTTTTGTAGTTTCCTTCTCTTAGCTGTGCATGTAACTCCAGTCCAATCCTCACCCTCCTTCCGCACCTCCAACTGCTGCACCATCGGCGTTAACGTTATGGTCGGATCAGCAACCTGAGCCGAAGGATCCATTTTAAAACGGGTTACTTTAGGCGTTTATCTGAGCAGTTGAACCAAGATTCCGAGGCCGGATGCGTAGGCAAGGCTTTCTAGACATTCTTCTGTTGAGTAGTCTGAAGGAGTGTCTAGGAAAGACTTATGGAGGGTGAAGGAAGGACGAGCCTCAGGGAGATGATGTCCAACTCGGGTGTATCAGCTAATCTGCTCTAGCTCAGCTCTGAAGGATTGAGTGGGGCAAATCTGCAGCATGCTGACCTTTTAGCGTCGATCGCATGACTCGAAAAGGCCTAATTTCGAATATTGAAGATGTCGTCCGCGTTGAGAATACCTTCAACAACGCCTAGAAGGATGGATGTCACAGCTGTCCAAATAGTGAAATCTCTACATAATCTAAAGCTGACAAATATGAGGTACTCTGGCTTCAGAGGTCCACATGTATGGGCTTTCGGTTTCCCGATCTAAAACGCAATGTCTTACAACAAATATATAAAGCCGCTCTGGAGAGCACCTTACATATTGCCATGGTTCTTGGCTCTTTTGCAAATTCTCCCCTTCTCTTGAAACCTCATAGACGAAAGCTACTATACCAGAAACCCTGAAAATGGCTTCACAATCCAAAACCGCCTTACCTATCGTTTTCGGCGCCATGACCTTTGGTGATGCCGGGATTGAAGGTGTTCGTGTGTCTAACCTCAAAGACGCTGGGGCTATATTGGATACTTTCCAAGCCCACGGTCACAGGGAAATTGACACGGCACGTCTTTATGGTGCCGGATCGTCCGAGAAATTCCTCGGAGAGCTTGACTGGCAAGGCCGTGGGCTGGTCATGGCTACCAAGGTCTTGCAGACGTCTGGACGGGATTTGGGCAACATGGCTAACAAACCTGAGCTCATCTATACACTGCAAGGAAAAGACATTCGCCGTGCTCTCATGGGCAGCCTTGCCGCACTCGGCGCTACAAAGATCGATCTGTGGTATCTCCACGGTCCGGACCGCATCACCAACACGCCTCTAGAAGAGACCTTGCGGGAGGTCAATACTTTACATAAGGAAGGTTACTTCTCTCGTTTCGGCATCAGTAACTTCACCTCCTGGGAAGTGGCAAAGATATGCGAGATATGCAATGCCAATGGCTGGGTCCGGCCGGTCGTCTTCCAAGGCCTCTACAACGCCGTCTTCCGCGGGGTTGAGCAAGAACTCTTGCCATGCCTCCGCCATTACGGCATCGCCTTCTACTCGTACCAGCCGCTGGCTGGTGGATTCCTCACAACGCGATACAGACGGGGTATGGCTGATGATGAAGAGGAGGCTGGCTCCCGATTCGACCCTAAGCGGTGGCAAGGAGGATTGCATCGTGCCTTGTACTGGCATAAAGACTACTTCGATGCGTTGGAGGATATCATTCGGCCCGCGATTGCAAAACATGGCTTGACGGAGGCTGAATGCGCCTTGCGATGGGTTTCCCACCATAGTCCCTTGAGCAGAGACCAGGGTGATACCATTCTCATTGGTGCCAGCAGCGTAAAGCAGCTCGAGCATAATCTGATAGACTTGGAAAAAGGGCCCCTCCCAGGCGATGTGGTAAAGGCGCTGGATGCTGCCTGGACTAAGGTCAAGGGTGTAGCAATCCCATATCATCATTAGATCAGACACAATCGATAATTTATCGCGCTGGTGAATTTCCACCAAGTGGAAGTTTCATAGAAATTCGTTCGCCGCGTTGTGATGCCCACCACCGTGAACTCTGGAACAGTTCGCTATCCTGGCCACCCACGAGCCACCACCACTTCTGAAGGAACCATTCTTTTGCTTCCCAACTGTGACAGTCCCAAGGTGTGCCATGATCGACTCCGTTGTCCACGGAGCCCCAGCACACCAATCCATCATTAAGCATGAGGTCAATGCACAAATCATCCTCATCCAGTAGAGGGGGATCAGCCGCCAAGGCTGCCAACGCACGACGACGAAAGGTCGGAAATGGCAATGAGTCAATATACGGATGATGGGAAACCGTGAACTGCGACGCAACCGGGCGTAAATGTATGGGAATATCCGAGTTGTCGACGTCGCTGCTATTTTGACCGCAGAAGGGTGATAGACTTGTTTCGTCCAAGAAGACAGAAAAGTCAAAACCTAGCGAGCTGAAGTTCGCAAAGAAAGCGGCAAAATAGGAGAGGCGCGCGATTCGTAAAACATTACGATACGGCGAGTATGCTCTCGATTCGAATAGATCTTGCATTGCAGACGACGCCGTTTCGAAGGGCTCGGTGGTTTCCGATACTGACAGCAAGATGTCTACGAACTTGTAGTCGCCACCCTGTGCGAGGACGCGGAGATTATTGCGAGAAGTTGGTGAAAGTGACAAATAGTAATCTCGTACCGAGTCTGGTTTGGCAGATACTACCTTACTGCTAGGCCGATAGATTAGGATATCCTTGGAAGCAGTAGAATGCGTATGGGTAGGTGTAGACTGGGCTCCAGCGCCGAGCAGCCGGTCTCTAGCAACTCGTTCAGAAGATGCATCGGTAGCAGACTCAAAGGCCATTTGATTGGTGTATGAAGTTTCCGGCATGACATTAGTGAACAGTAACGGATCCAAGCCCGCGATATCTGAAGGTCTTATCAGCGGCTCCTCGACATCTAAGTCTGGAAAGCTGAAATCTGTCCCGGACGGCTCCAGCCAGGCACTGATATCATGCCAAGGCGATCCTGTGCTCGGTTGATCCGCCGATATAGATGGTGTTACCTGCTCTAGCAGCTCATCCGACCCTAGTTCTTCTCTGAGACCCGTTGAGGTCGAGTTTGTAGGATTTGCTGGGCGAGCACTCTCTAATAAAGCGACCTTGTTTTCGAGTTCTCTTATTTTTTCTCGTCTTCGATCGCCTAGTGCGAAATGAGCATGCGTCCATCGATTTTGCTTCTCAGGACTCACGATATGCCTTTTGTGCCACACGATTCTGCATGCGGCGATCCGCCGAAATTGGCTTCTTCGCCCGCCTCGGTCTTGTTGAGGCTGAAGTAGCATCAGCCTTCTCGTAGTCTCTCACACGGTCCGACATCAAGGCGTCTTGACCATATTCATGTGGAGGCTTGAAGGGAATGATTTTGCAGCATTGATTACGTTGGTGTATCTTGTCGTAGAAACACCAGCAATGTGCTTACGTCAAGACCCGGTTGCTTACGCGATGCCTTGACTCGTCTGCTGACGCTATGAAATGTGCATACTGCTGCGCTGCACCACACGACGACACCCGGGAAGAGAGAAATTTGTGCTTCTTCGCAATGAAGGCATAATCCCAGATTGATTAGACATAGGCAGGCTATTGATGAAAACGGAGATTGAAGCTGCAATGCGAAACAATCGTTTGGTACAAGTATCTCCCAAGTGAATTGTTGACTATAGGTTGTAGTTGCATAACGACCTTAGCGTGTTGACGAAACAAGTGCCCCACCGTCGCGCTCACCGCAAAAAAATTTCCTACTTGCACTTCGCACACAGACTTCGTTACCTTTTCGCGTAGAACTTGCCTTTTTGGCCACACTCTGCATAAGAGATCATGACTGGCATGACCTTGTCCTGATGATTCTCTTAAATCCGACTCGCGCTACTGTTCCAACCCAATGGGCCGTCTCGAGAGAGACGTGACTTGACGCAGAGATGCGTCTCTTCCTCGTCCGCCACGGCGAGTCTGTGGACAATGTAGCAGGCCTCTAGTGCGCTCACTCTCACGACAACCTGCTCAGTGGCTGTTGCTGATTGTGCTTTAGTGCAGGGTCTCGCGACTCGCCGCTCACGAACCATGGCGTTCTGCAAGCTCGCCGTCTCGGAGCGCACCTGGCAGGCCGAATCCCCAGCATCGGACCAGTCCGCCGTATTTTCTCATCGAATCTCCAGCGAGCTGCAACAACAGCCCAGGCGATCATTGATGCTCAGTCTGTCTCCGGGTCTCCGAATAACCTCCCTCGTCCGGCCCTTGTCCAACTTCCTGAACTGCGCGAGAAGGATTTCGGTTCAGGTGAGGGAAAGCGCTTCGGGTCCCGCACCGAGGTAGATCAATCGGATTCTGAATCACACGAGGCCATGCGTGTTCGGATAGATCGCTTCATCGAAGAACATCTGACCACTACGTTGGTAGAGGCGACGACATCCACCCAGGACAAGTCTACCGTTGTCATTGTTGCGCATGGGATCATCCTTAACGTACTCCTGAAATCGATCCTCTTAAAGTTTGCAGCCGTTGAGCTTTCTAGGCTTGCAAATCTTGGCGACGGCCAGAGAAGGTCCGAACACCTCGCGGCTTGGAGCAATACTGGATACCTAGAAATCATTGTTGAGAGCAAGGATCGTCGCCCCAAGAACGGTCCGCTTTCTGTTGCGTCTGGCTCAACAGAAGATCGAGGTTCAATGGCGAGCATGCCAGCAGGCACCAAAGAGTCAGATCAACCGGCATTGAAACTCCGGGTGGCAATACTCAATTGTGTTGAGCATCTGCAGGGCCTAAAGAAGACCCGTGGGGGAATTGGTAGTTTGAAGTTCGATAACAAGCAGCAAACCATGGACTCGTACTTCTCTAAGGCGACAAAAAAGCTCAAGCTCGCCGACAATTCGGATACATGATACCCCCTTGGCCACTCGACGCACTTCACACATTAGAACAGGTTCGTTAGGCTTTTCTTACCTTCTCGCTTTCTCCATATGATGAGTGCATTTCTCACAGACCTGTTCTGAAAACCTAATGTGGACAAACAATGTCCAACCGCTATCTGACTTGGAGATCCAATTACTGCTTTCTATTCATCTCGAATGTTGTGCAAAGACTAATTTGATGATTAGGTAGGCCTTGCACTGTAATGATTTCACACTGTAGATGATCACGATTCCATGTCGTCGTAACACGGACAGCATTGCATGCCACATTGGAGATGACCTTATATACTCTATCCAGTTGGATAAGAATACGCATTGTAACTCGTGGAAGGAGTTTTGGCTTTCATCGACGTATCGAGCATCGAAACTCGGTGCGGTCTGTCACTTGCAATTGTAGCATACTAATGTTTGAAATGTATTCGCCTGTAAACAGATTTGGTGCTAGTATAGGGCAAAATCACAATTAGTTCGCAGCATTAACCGAGTTCTATCAATGTAAACATCCCTCACCCCTAAACCCTCCATAATTGTATCAAGCGTCATTCCTAAGATGCAATCCTGTGTCCCTCGCTCGGAACCACTGACTCTAGTTCAAGACACTCTGTAGGCTGGTCCCACGTGAGATAGTACTGACGGTTCACCTTTCGCAGACCGCAGGCTTGTCTTTGTGTAGTCGGTGTACCTCCATGGGCCTGCTTGTCGACGAGTATTAGTCGAGAAGTTTACAGTGAAGTCTGCAGGCCTGGCACATTAGACAAATGTTCGTACATCAACATCAAAATGGCCAGATCAAATGTGTGAATTTGTGCCTTACTTAGTTGGCTGGCTGGGCTGGAACAGAAGCTGATGGGGCGACCTTCTCATCCTTGGCATGACAGCCCGGTCCAGCAGATGCACAAGGTGATTGAGTGGGCAGCACAACCTGGGGAAGTGCAGTGACGCCGTAGATGTGCGCCAAGATGCCGACGAGGACGAGATTGAGGAACTTCATTGTCTGAAGTCTTGAGCAGATGTTGGTAACTACTTGGTATGTGAAGACGGATCGTGCGCTAGATGGATTTAATCATTGAATCAAGAACCAAGAACGTGTGAGGACTTCTGCTTCATTATATACTCTGGGAAGGTTCTCGAGCTTGACGACACATCAGCTGGTGAGTTGGTGAAGCTCGATGATTCAGACTGTCAGTCGTTCTGTTGTCGAAGTGCTAATGAAGAACAATCAGACATAGAATGCTCCTTGGATCGAATCATAACATGAAGATGACATCATTCAACGTCGAATCAATGATATGATTTACACCTTCAAAGAGTTCCTGAAGAGGGTATACAGCGAAATCCTGAGGATAAATTCAGATGGTTCAACGTGAGTCGCCAAGATGCAGTTTTGTGAGACTGAAAGGATTGAGATGCCCACAGACAAGTGTCTATTCCTCATCACTACTGGAATCTGGCTCCACCCCGCTGGCGGCCTCAGAAGGTAGTATTCGCGGAAACCAGCCATGTTCTGCAAAGTCCACCATCAACTCCCCCAGGGCGCCAGTCGTGACGGTTACTCCCTCCGCACGAAGGGCTGTAGCTTGGTTCTGGGCGCCTGATGGTTGCGATCTGACCATGATTCAACGTTGCGTCTATGACTGATGAGGCTTAGACATACCTTGGAGAGATGACGCCTTTGGAGTTGATAACGCGCTGCCACGGTACATTCTGATTGTTGAATCTTGCGTCCGGATCATCTGGCAAATGCTTCATACAGACGCCGACCTGACGTGGCCGCTGTGCTGTGTAAGAATCAGCCTTATAGGTCCTCAACGCTTTGGGGGACATTGGTGCGCACGCGTTCCCACAAGCTTAGCTATATGTCCATAGCTTGTCACTTTGCCGTACGGGATCTCTTGAACGGCGCTGTAGACGGCATGAAAGAACGCGGCCGCCTCGTCCGACCGTGGCATTTTAGTACACAAATATCAATCTGTATTCTTCTGCACTAATGGGTCAA